TTTAACAATCTTACAATATTGTTCCTGACCAAACAGGAACGCTATTGTAACATAGTTAATCGGTGTGAATGTAGCTCCATCCACACTTAAATTAGAAACATCTGTTGCATATCCCCCCGACCTTTCTGTCCAAATCCTCCAATCTCACATTGTGTGTGATAGAACAAAATGCCTCATTCAGACCGGATCATGTGTTGCGGTGATTTTCAATTCAAAGTCAATGGTGACGCGTGTTCGAGCGTGGAACTGCATGTGCGTCTTGAAACGCATGCGCGGTAGAGGCGCAGGAGCGGAAAATTGACGCACACAGGAGATAAACATTGCTGAAGTTTTTCCTCGGGACACTCGAGCAGCAACCAATCAGAGAGAAGCAAAGTGTTCTCGGGCAAAGCGACGCTACTAGCTTAACTAAATTTTTCAGTAGCCAAGATTTCCAAAACCAAGTAAATTTTCTGTAGCAAAGCTATTTTAATGAGCAAGTAGCACGTCCTTGGTGACGGCGCACACGCACACACACCCACACACACACGCTAACACACATGCGCGTGCGCGCTGCTGGAGGGAAGTTACAGGACGGCAGGGAGCCCAAGAGCCGTGGTTGCGGAGGACTCTCAAACTGTTACCGTGGCCATACCTCCAAAAGTACCTCACTTTAGTCGAGACGAGCCAACAGAAATACGTTTTCAGAGCCTACAGTACTTTGTAGTCACAAGAGAACGTTCCTCTGTGACTGACAATAAGGTTGTATGATGGTTGTTACGATTGTTTTCCTAAACTGGTCAGACATAGTTCTTAGCACCGTTCATTTGTAAACTTACGTGTATATTGGACTATTGTTATAAACAACAGTTAAAAAACAGTTCTAATGAAATACATGTTAATTTGTAATGGCTTATAATTTCTCAATTTATTTTATTTACAATTGCAAAAGGCCTTCTTGTGTTTTGTTGTTGGTGTTTTGGGCTATTGTTAAATAAATATATAATATAGTCTGACTGACAGCTGTATTTATCACTAAAATTGCATGGACTGCAGTTTGTTAAATTGAAAGTAGCTTCTATATATCAAGCTACTTTTGACAGGATTTTGTAACTTAACTTGCTACATTTTTATGGGCGGTAGCTTCTGTGTAGTGCAGCTGAATTTATTGTAGAGTAGCTTGTAGCTTAGCTCACTATACAAATCAAGTAGCTTGCCCATCACTGGCATGGGGACATTAGCGGTCTGAGCGAGCAGACTGAAAATACTCGTAAACAGCCCAAACAGGAGCTACACCAGGACTAAACCAGGGTCGACAATGGGGGACAAAGTGCTTGTGAACACTTGCGTTCTCATGCTCCCGTGACTGTATACAACTGCTTCTAGCGTGTTCGCCGATGCAGAAGTACTGTTTAATAATAAAATAATCTTATGGCGCACCTCCGTGAACACATACTGCTGTTATTTAAAGGCTCTGGAAGGTCTCTGGACACAGAAACACTGCAGAGCTGCATTATTGGAGAAGAACTTTTTATGTGCGTCTGGTGTGCACGGAAGCTGCGTTCCAGCGTCGGTGGTCGTCGCCCCATTTGACATCATGGAGTTTCTCCAGTTAAATTAGTATAACTGTGTCATAAAACACAGGTGCTTTTCTTTGAAGTTGAATGGAATTTCCTTATCCATTATAGATGTTCATCCATAAATATTCTGCTATCACCAATGTCAATATTCATAGATTATGAATGGACCAAAATGAAAACATAAGTGTGCTGTGTCTCGCTTCTGTCCTCACTGTGTGGAGAGAATGGGAAACTATTGGATCTATAGGAAACATTGTGAAGTGGTTTGTGACCTCGGTCTGTGAGATACTCTAAATAAATACAGATTAATGTGAGATTTCATAACACTTTGAAGCAACTTTTGTTAAAGTTAAACTCATCATTCTATCAATGTGCAGAAGCCAGTACTTTTCCCATGTTTTGTCTATCTGAAGGCCAAGCTACATGGCACCGTGGCAGCTGCTGATTGGAGGTCTCCATGCCTCCGCTCTGTATAATACACTTGCATTCTCTTGTATCTGTGATCGTGTGCTTTGTTCGTGCTGTCTCTACCATCGACAATAAAACATGTCTTCTGTCTGAATTTAAGACGCGATCCCAGACTATGTCATCTTCTTCATTACTTACTTACTTCCAGTGTTGCTTTGTTGTGTGTGACAAGCATGACTAATATAATCTTTCATTCAGTGCTACACAGCCGCTGATGTCCTCGGATCAATAGAGCATTTGGATTACCAAAAGATCTTCCAATGTTCCACTCAGCCGCACAACCCCCCTCCTCCTCAACCTCTCTCCTCCAGCCTGTTCGCAGGGGCCCTGACAGCGGCGGCTCTCCGGGGGGGACGTGTCAGGGCTTTGATAAATATTTCTCTATTAGCTGCTCCCATTGTCAGAGCTGGCCTTTGTGTCGCAGGGCAGTTCCCTGGAGCACCAGGGATCCGGGACCACTGGCTCCTCTCCCAGGTCATTACGGAGGTCCCAGCCCGTGCCTAGCCTGCTGACGAGGCAGCTTCAGGGAAAGCTTTAGCAATCAGCAGTGAGAGAGGTGCAGAAGTAACAGCGAAAACAAGACAAGCAGAGGCCCCTGGTTAGGTCGAGATTATATAAAGACACATTAAAAGTAAATATTCTCAAGATCTGGTTTAAGGGCCAACATGAACACAACTAATGCTGAGGAGGATGCAGTAGTGTAGATATCTATAGTTAATTTGCAAACACAGAAAAGTACAATTAGAAGAAACAAAATTGGAAGGATTACCAATGTCCCTTGAGCAAGTATTTCTTTGAAAAAAAAGATAAAGTTTCACTATTCTTTCAAATGTGCCAATAACAGAACATGTTGGAGAGTCCAGCGAGACCAGAGTGGTATACCGGAAAAAGTGACCAAAGAGCAAACAGAGAGAGACAGTTACCAGAGAGATACCAAAGAGAGAGAGACCAGAGGGAGACCTGTTTTGCAAATTAACTTTTCATATTAGTTCCAGTTTTTTTTTGGTAATTATTTTATGCTGTTTTCAACGTCCTCACAGTATGACGTCATGGACAGACCTGTTTTCTGCCTTTTTAAACACTCTATAAATGTCTCTAAACAAGGCCATTTCTGATCAAGGCCTGAGATAATACCATACCATGACCACTATTATTGACCTCAAATATCTCTCTCTCATACGGTATCAGTATATGCCTTATTCAGACTCGTTCAAGTTTAAAATCTGTCCAAACAATTGTTGGAATCTTGGTTTCTAGCTTCCATTGCCCCTCTGAGGCAGGCTGCTAACAGTCTTTGTGACCTGGGCTAACCTCCTGTGGGACGACGCTGTCAGGTGCTGTGAGCAATGAGAAATCACAGTGCCCCATATAACCCAGTCATAATGATGGATGGCCCTAAACCACAGCCACCGAGCGCCATCGCCGAGCGCCATTGCTGACCTTCATGTGGTTATGAGAGGATCGATTGGTGTCGCAGAAAGCACTGGTCTGATCATATTCTTATGTGATTGTGCCAAATTGTCTTCTGTAAGTGTTATGTTTGTGATGTATACTGAGGTCTTTTTCCTATGTGGGAAAACACAATGGTGATGTCACACTCCTCCAGTTCACTCCTAACATACTTTCTACGCCTCTGTCAAAACTTAAGATTCTCTTTTTCAGAGGAGTAAAAAAGAAAAGAACTCATCCAAGCGTAGTGACTCTCAGAGCTCTTACTTGAGAGTATTATTATTCATCATTCCTTATAAGATGTTGGACAAACAAGTCTTATTTATGAAAGAAAGTCATAAAGTCAGCTTTATTATTAGCAGCATGTAATTTGCCTCTTCTGCCACTAGATGTGTGTGTTGTGCTCTCAGGTGATCTCCCATCCCAAGTCCTCAGAACGTCATCAATGTCCTATAAACTCTGAATACACAAGATCAGAATGAGGAGAAATCAGTGAATTGTAAATTGTTTATTTAATAAAATACTATTTGTTCTTATCAGATAGCACAGCCATCATTAATTTCATTTATACATACATTTTGTATCTTTGTACCATTTGTCTTGTGGATTCCCACCCCCTAATAAACCCAAGAGCTTGGAAAAATATGACATCTTTGCATTTTACAGGTAGAAACAATGGCCTTGTATATGATGTATGCCGGTGTGAGCGCACACAAAAAACTGGTCTTGACTGGTTGCCTCATAGTAAGAGACAACATCATTACAATGTCTAATAAAACCAGTCAATGTTCAGCCTGAAGTAAGGTCTGTCTCTGTGGGGTTAGCAGAACTGTACTGTATTCTACAATTGTATATTTTAACCAATTTACCGTAAAAAAAAGCAGAATTCCCTAGAGTTACAGACAAGTAAAAAATAAATAGAGAATTTTCTTTTGTGGGAATCAACAAAAGTATGAAATAAAGCCACTTTTCAACCCTTATCAATGTACCGATCACAGACAAATGTGGGACTAGAGAGAGCATCAAACAGATCCAGTTTCAGCTGCCTATTGTGGCACATACAGTTCTTTTAAGACCTCTGAAGTCTGCCACCAAAACCATGTCAGGTACTTAAGCAGCACTAGCTTAAGTGTCTGATTAAAAGAACCGTATAAACTTTAAACATAAAAGAGACATGAAGAATGTTTTATATTTAGCTATAATGTGATTTATTTAAGAACTCAATAGGCCTTTGTCATCTCAATACCTGAACAAATGCATCACTATTCTCACTTCTACTTCAACCTTTAGGCTTTAGTCTGAGTAAAGTAAATATTTCCTAGGATTGTGTCCATAAAAGCATTGAAACAGAAATGTATTCCGATTTGGAATCACATAATGGAGAATAATATGACACAGACAGACTCTCCCGTCCACAAATGTTATTCTGCTCTTCTGGAAAGCTAAGATGGCCGCCACAGTCCGCAACACAACCCAAACTTTCTAATCCATGTCATCGCTCTGAGACTCCGACAGAGTTAGGCATCACTGGTATCCCAAAGCTGATGCCGATCCCAGTCTCTGCGAATACAGCGCATAAGGCGAGTAATACGGCGAGGAAGACGGGTGCATGGGCAGTCCGGGGACGGAAAGGTGCGACTTGCCGTACGGGTGGTAGCGCGCCAGGCCCAGTCCAGGCGACCCACGCAGAGAGAAGGAGCCAGGGAGCGCGCCCGGGCTGCTGGGGGGTGGCAAGTGGAGGTGACATGAAGACGAAACAGAAGAAGGATACGCCGAAAGCATTTTGTTAGCGTCCACCATCCCTGGAAGCGACGTGTGCGTGCGCAAGTGTGCTAGCAACTCCTCAGATGTAGCAAACCGCTTGTCGCACGGCCCGCCCACTGACACCCAGTTGCAGGCGTGCGGTAGAGGGTCGTTCTGCAGCATGAAGCCGTAAGTGTAGAGCGGGTGTGAGAGGGTACCCGGCGTGCTGCTGGTGGAGTGGAGCGTGTGCAGAGGGTGAGATTGATAAACGAGCGGAAACCCGGATTTCATCGAGGAACTTGGGTCATGCACGCAAGAATTACAGTTACTGCCGCTCAGATGGTGGCTGTTCGGGTACGTTAGACAGTACGGGTCCCGGCAAAGACCTTGCATCAGCGTCGGAGGTGAGGCGCCCGTGAGAGGACTAGAGCTGGCGTGTTTCCCTGGGAGTCCCAGCCCCAAACTGGACTTGGCATGGTCCAGACCCGGGACGAACTGCGACGGATAACCAGCGTAGGCCCCTATAACAGAGCCGTGGTAGCCCATCGATGCCGGGGGCAAGGGGAAGACCGAGTGTCCGGGTTTGAACGGTGAAACTGGGGCGATGTGTCCAAGCCCGGGCTGAGAGGAGAGTTGCTGGTCCTTGCTCTCTGGGTGCGGGCTTCCGGCAGAGCTAGCATTGCTGGAGTTAGCGCTGGCTCGGACGTGGCTAGAATTGGCGAGCACGTGCGCTCCGTGTTCTAGCGGAGACTTTGAAGAATCTGCGTCTTTCTTGGCGCTGGTTGAAGAATCTGATGCGTGCTGCTCTGAACCGCTGGTCGGTGTTTGGGGGAGTGCAGGGGAGCGTGTGGAGGACGGGGATTGGCTTTGGGGGTGCAAGGGAGGGGAGCGAGAGCCAGGGGAACGGGCATGAGCGGGGAAGGGTGGGCAGGCAGCGGACGGGCCGTTGGAGCCGCCGTTAGCCAGCCTGAAGGACTTGTCACTCTTGGTCACGATCACGTCCTTCCGAGACTCGCCGGAGGACTTGGCATATGGCTTGAAGCTGGACTTGTCGTCCTGGGTGTGGTGCTGCTCCCCGCTCTTGGATCGTCCGGACGGCTCCTTGTCGTGGCTCCCAGAGGATAAAGACGACAGTTTCGAAGAAGACGGAGGGTCGGGCTTGCCGATCTGAGAGCAGGTCTGAGCCAGCAATGCCAAAGGACTCTTTTTAGCGTCCAGCTGAGAGAAACAAAGCAAGACAATTGCGTCAGACTCATGATGGCTTTTGGACATATATTAAACACTAAAAGCATTCATAGCCACAAATACATTTATCTATCCTCTCATATAGATGGACATTTACTAACCCCTAAGGAAATTACCCTCTAGCCTAAGAACAACAAAATACAGAGGTTGAATTTATTTTTATTTTTTTAAATACACACACTCTCTCTCAAACACTCTTTCTCAGACACACACACATAGATCAAGATGTGATCTATGTGAACTGCTCCACTTTTTAATCCTGAAGGAAATTGTAATTGACAATGTCACACTATTTACATTTGAGAGGAATCTTAAACACCAAATGGAGCAAGGCGTTTAACATAAGACTTTTAATTTAGTGTAGTATAATTATTGTTTGTTGTAATAATAATAATGATAACAATAATAGTGAATAGTACTTATTGAGTTTACTGCCATGGGACAACAGTGTAAGGACTATACTGTAGGATGAACTACAGCCAGTGCGCGCGGTCCCCATATCAAGTTAAATTAACACGTATTTAAAACGGCTAGTGTAATATTTGTTGTTCTTCATATATAGTACATACTACAGCTACCACCATATTTGAGTTGTGTTTATCAATCAAAACTAAATTAATTTACATTTTGCTTTTCGTTTCAACTTGAATCGCAGTGCGTAAAATGGCGCATATGCCGTAGTAAAAGACATGAGGCTAAAACTCTGCTGTGGTCTCTCACCACTCATAATACACTGCAAAAAGTGATGAATAATAAGTCAAAAAT